CAACTGGAAAGTGACGTAAGGTTTTTTTAATTAGAATTTTGAATTTATATTAAGTTCATTATTGTTTTATAATGCTGATCTTGATCGTTTATTGAAAATTAATGCAACTGATATAATCATTTTGAAGCAATATCGCATATATATATATATATATATGATTAATATGATTAATCATAATCATATCAATTGTCAATGAATACATACCCAAATTAGGTGAAATTATTAAAGGCACTGTAAAGCTTAAAAGAGAAAAACAAGATTTTTGCTGTCAAAATGCATGTAAGTCAGACATCAAAATTCAAAGAATCATTTAGAAGTCAGATTGGTAAAAAACTCAAAATTTGTCACATTTGAAAAGTTTATGATTGATTTTAATTAAACTTACATGGCCCAAAGGTGCAAGTCACAATTGTCCATCAAGGTTTACTTTTTTGTGCCTTATTTCAAAAGATGTTAAAGATTTCACAAACTTGTCCTTATATTTCTATATTTTCATTTAAATCCTTGCACAGATATAAAAGAGTACTGGAATTCAAAGACAAGATTTGGAATTACGGATCAAAGCCAGATATCAATTACATCCTTCATAACTAACCCAGTTGCTTTGTATAAAGCATCACATCCCCGTCAGTGAGCCATTACCAGGGCAATTATACCTGACCTTATTATTAGAAATCTTTGTCACTGCACAAATGATGGAATCAACACAGAAAACTGCCAATCTACCATTTGGTTATCCCATTTATCTCTTGTCAGCAGTACTTGATTCAGCATTCTGCATGTTGTGGATCAAACATGATGTTTTTGTATCAGAAGAGATGGAGAACAAGGTCAAGAAACTTGCAAAGGTAAATATCATTAAAACAGCAATAGCTGTTTGAGCCATGGGAGTGAAATATGAAGTGTGGGCTAATTTTAGGGGAGCAATTTTTTATGAATAAAAAACAAATGCAGAAAATAAGATACCTTAAATCCCTTTAAAAGAGGAAGGGGATGCTGAATGGCTTCGACTGCATTTTAAAAATATATAATGTAAATTGAATGACAATTAATATTAGTTTTGTACATATTGTAAATATGACCTGAACTGATTCAATACAGCTAAACGTGAGAATTATCAAATATGACTCAACAATACTTTCAGACTTTATACTCTATCAGCACTAAATGTATGTTTTCTTATGTATAATCTGCTAAATGTTAGCCTACTGTTTATAACCATTTCAGCAATGATGATTCACATTCGTTGAGTTTAACATCATTAGATCAGGTCAGATTAGAAATAATATATGTATGACAATTTAACATAAAACTTGTTTTACTTTGGATTTTCTTCCAAATATTCATTATATAGATTTGATCATGTCCCAGGCCAGCACAGTACTGGTAGAAAACAACAACAGTAACGAGGACGAAGACATTCCACCCCAGAAGGTCGTTCGACTTTTAGAAGGGTACAAATGGAGCATACACTGGGGTTAGGCTTCTAAGACATCTGTATCTTCCCAACTCGGCAGATACTTCGAGATGTACCAGGAATTTCACAAAGTAAGTTCCAATGCATCTCTTCACGTCTGGTAGGTCAACAAGAACAACCTCTCCAGGCTGTTTCCTGTGGCTATGACAGTTCTGGCTGTTCCTGCTTATAGTTCTCCCATTGAATGAGTGTTCAGCCATTGAGGCATCATTATGTGCCCTCATAGAGCTAAGCTTAGTAACAAAATGCTCTGATTGCCTTCTTCTAGTCAGTGACATCACACACTTTGATGTAGATATTAAGCACAAACAACACTGTTTGGAGACCTTATAGTGTAGCTGGTCCAAAATAAAAGATAGTCCATACTTCCTTCACCAGCCTGTGTGACTCAGTTGGATTTCCACCACCATGAATTGTTGCATATGAGGCACAAATAGTATACCATTAGTTTGTCTCAGCACGACATCAGATTCAAATGATATCCAACTTAATTCATTTATGTATATTGGAAAAGGTCCCCACCAAACAATTACTAAGCCTGTGTAGAAACAAACTGAGGGTACATTATTTTTTATTTCATAACCAACTAACAAAAAAGAACAGTGCACTTTTTTCTCTTATAGAACATTTGGTTAGTCCACAAACACATTTTATCATTAAGACTCGACTTGTGACTTGTTCAAAATGACTTGTGACTTGCAGGAAATTACTTACGACTTGACTTACTTGTTAAAAACTCTGTTGCCGGGAGACAAACACTTTCAACACAGATCATTAGGTTTGTGACAATGGCACCTAACCCAGAGAGATCAGTTATAAAAAATACCTTAAAGTCACACTGGCAACCATTTTAGTCATACTACAATGCTCTGAAGTGTATCCACATTAGAGGAGGTACACTGTTTCATTCATAAAGAGCTTAGTAATGCTCACTGCTTGTATTGGTTCTGTTTCTAGTAGCATTACACCCACAAAAGGGTTAATAATTCTAACTGCCTGTATTTGTGCTGTTTCTAACAGCATTACATCTATAAAAGGATTCCAACTCTATGTAAATTATAAAATTATGAAATTATAAGTTCAAATTGGGAAACACACATTCAGGAACACCTCACTGACACTAGTAGTTACATTTTATTCCATCACAAGCATAATTACCTACTACAGATCAAACTCAAACCACAGCATGTGATATCAAATACATACTAAGATACATTATCAACTGTTACAATATGTGACTGGTATTGCCAGTGTGAATTGGAGGCCAGTGAGACAGTGTGCTCATGTTGAATTTCTTTTATGATATCTAAGCTTCTATCAACAACAGAATACATCCTTACCCCTTCCAATATTATACAAATAGCACACAGTTGATGCAGCTGATCAGGACTAGAATTCTGATGATAAGAGTGGCACATGTGATGCAGTTAACTAACTTAAGGTTCTGTAGATTCAATCGAGTACTGAAGAGATTACATCAAGCTAAAGATTATTTCAAACTGATAACTGTAATGCAAAGACAACGTATACTAATATATTTCCTACCTACTCGGATCTAAAAGGACAAGAGAAGGAAATATAACGAAGACAAAGAAAATATTTTCCTCTATATTAGGTGACATATAGTATATTATTGAATTTGTCAATAAATATATAACATCAGAGGTAACTGACACAAAACATTTACTTTGAGTAACATACAGATCTGCTCACACATTAATAGCTGCCTTTTTATGAATATATGGCATCCATCATTAAATTTCTAAAGATATTTATTCAAACTTGACATGACCATTTTTATTCCCTTTTCTTTAATCATAAAAACCTTTACTTCAAGAATTTACAAGGCATGGTCTGTTGAGGAGTTGGGACCTCCCTTCCAAGCTCCAAAACAAAGATCTTTTTTTGTGTATGAAAAAAAAAAAAGAAACTTTAATATCATTGAACATTTTTTTAAAACAACAAACCTTTTGAAATGCAGGAGAACCTAAATCAGTATGCAACAGGTGAGTGCAACTCTTCATAAAAAAGGGTGAACTTGTAGCTTTATTGTAAAGCTGAGTGTACACCGCCAGTGCTATTTCTGGTGTTTCCACATAGCGACACTCTCGAACACTAGACTACCACAAAAGAAAGATGAACCAAAATTAAAACATTTATCATGAATCTATTTATTATTTCAATTCTCATGTAACTAAACCTGTTCTTTTAAAACAACTGCCAAACAAGAGTTTAAGTTTTTAACATGAAGCAGAGATGGTATTTCCAGATCCATCACAAGCAATGAAAACATTAAAAAATATAAAATTAATATTTTAAACTGAAACTAATGATAAAATGTAGCATATTTAATAACTTTGGGCCAGCACATCCAATTTGAATAGTACATTTGTGATGAATCCAATACCTTCCCCATTATGAACAAATTACTTTTATCTTATCAAGAAATTAGTTTTTATTGCATAATATATTATAATTCAAGTTTTATCTATTTATAATATGATTATCATTGGCAACTTTCTCATGTGCAAAAGATATCAGTTTTAAACAGAATGTTATATATTATAAACAATTTTGAAAATTAACAAATGATTTTGGAGATTTTATCTTTCTTCAATTAAGAAACATAAAAAAGATTCAGCAACTTTTAGAAATACAATTAGCTTGTCATGCAACACCTATGTAAAATATGAAAACAAAATTCCTGGGAATAAAACACAAAGAAATATAGATAAGCAGAATTACCTGAAGTTTCAATAGGTGCCCTTGATGAGTGAATATACAATATTGTTGCTTGCTGTCTTTATCATGTCCTAAAGAAACATGAAGTTCAAGAACAAAGAATGATACATCTTGATTCTTTGGTGTATCATGAGATGAATCACCCATTTTAACCACTGCTTGGAGATGTTGTATCTTGTGATTACCCTATTTAGGAAAGATCTGTTAAAAATGTACTGAATTTTTGGAAATTAAATCAAACTTTCAAGGAAGTGTTTCAAGATAAAAATAACATTATAAATTTTTAATACTGAATATATGTATAATATAAAGTTATGAAAAATTAGCTATATTAATTTACAGGTTAGGTTTTAGTTCTGGTTTATGCAGATACCTTGCTTTGATGAGAGTTAACTACAGCTAAATGTTTTTGTTCCTGTGATTAACTGTAGCAGATCAATGTAACATAACTGCAAAAAGCAAAGAAAAGCATATCAGCCAAAGGGATTATTTCTATTCAAAGAAACTTTATGACAGTGTTGAACAGACTGAACATTACCTTTATAATTCTTTCATAATTTTTATATCTATACAGTGTGTGAAATTAATTTTATCCCTAGATCCAGACCAACAGTTATCTTTTATGTAATAACCCAATGAACCAGATCAGACTTTACAAGCAAGAACTGCCTGTAGTGATCAAAAACAACAATTCTTCATGTACAAGTGTTGCTAACCATGAACTAAACCCAAAAATGCATGTTTTTCGTAGCCTTCACTTAATGCCTGCCTTGCCTTATAAGTGCTAAACAAAAGCTTGAGAAAAAAAACAACACCCACTTGTTTGTATTAAATATTTTTAACAGGACCTTTCAGGATATTGTCAGCAGTTCACAAGCTGCTATCTCCAGTTAAAATACTTTCTTTACTTTTATCTTACATACCATTTGATAACTGCATATTTTTTTATTGTCAAAACATTTATAGGGACTATGTTTATCCCATATCAGGATTCTAAACATATTTTTACAATAGTTTCTCAATGTGTTTGTTTTAGAACAAATCCACATTTGGTTATATGCTGTGTCCATTGTGGAAAATTTAACTTCATATTTTAGCACTGTAAATCTGTAGATTTACCATTGTCTCCAATCAGGGGACTTCTCAATGTGAGTGAAAATTATAGGTACTAAACATGTGAAGAAATTATAAGCCTGGAAGACTGCTTTGGGGCTCCCTGTTTCTTGATAAGTGTTAATTAACATTTGACTTTAAAATATTGATTTTTCTGTTCTCACACTATGGCATCTTTGTAATCTAGCAGAGTTAAAGTGTAATGTTAGTTAAAGAGAAAATTAACTCCTGTAAGTAATAAATAATCTTAAGTGAAATACATTACATGGTGAAAAAGAAATATGAAATGCTACACACATAACATATATGCAAAAACTGTGCTCTAAAAATATGTATGGGTTAACTAAGAGAGGTGGAACATTTAAAAAGTTTTTTCTTACCTTGGAGATTTTTTCATTTGGTTTGAAAACTTGTACTGGTATTTCAACTCTCCTGATGGCACTTTCCCTCCTGGTTGTCACCTGGGGTGGCCCGCACCCCCCTTAATATGCTACTAGTAAGTATTTATCCAATATGGAATGGCATAATATATAGCCCTAGCCTCACTACACACTTGTGCTTAGCTGAACACGTGTGATATAATGGCTGGTTGAGCAATTTTACATTCCACCTACCTTAGGTCAATTAAGCACCGAGCAAAAGATTCTTTTGATAGTATCTTTTGCTCTACCAACTATTACAACAGCTTAATGTTAATTTACACTATAAAATAAATTTTTATTTTTATTGGCAATACAAACTTTACAAATGAAAAATTAAACATTTTATAAAAATCATATCAAAAGGCGAACATTTGTTGGCCTTTTAGTCATCAGTTTGTTGAGCATAGCCAGCCAGGTGCAACTGACATTCCAAGTCTAGTCCACTTGACACTCTGACTCTATATACTTGAGGTATGTTTCATTAAATAATTATGATAAAGCATAAAGTGCTGGTGTTTATAACAATATCATGGTACTTATATGAGTGTCCAGTAATTTTTAACAATGTGGTATGTGATGTTTAAGTGTTTATAAATGCATCGTCGTGATGTTACAGAAACTCGTGTTCATGAATGGTGGTCCCTGTGACTACTGGTGATCAGTAAAAAGACACAGGAAAGTCACACTTTGCACTAAACTTTAGACTTGACTTTTTCCCACAACCATTACTACTGAAGTAACAATGTTTTGTATGACTGAGTGAGTTTTTTTTATGATGACTATGTGGTGATATTACGATGGTGGTGGTGATATGAATGCATAATTTTTTTAATGGCACTACATGGTGATGTTAAGACAGAGAAGGTGATGATGTGGCTGCATGGAGATACGTTAATACTTACATGTTTAGTATAGTAAACACTGTTTGAGATTTACATCAACAATTACAGAACTATTCTATATTGAATTAGTACTAATGGTTATTGGCTTAGTTAAGTCATCATAGTTTCAACAATTTTACACCCTGAACAGTGTCCAGTGTGGTAACATTGTATATTTAATATGTTGTTTATGGTTATTGCTTAATATATAATGATATCAATTACAATAGCTAGCATTATACCATACTATATTGAAGTAGTGTTAATGCAATGACATTGATAATTAATTGTCTCTGCTTGTCTGGATTGATAATCTGATAACTCAATGGGTACCTGGTTGGAAAAAGTTTGAGAACCACTTGTTTGAAGCTTTTCTGTTGTAATAATTTTTGTTTTACTTCTTTATTTACTGGATATACTGTTAATTTTTATTTTGTCAGTGGTCTAGTTATTTGTGAGTAATGCTCATAGTTTTCTGCTTTTTTAGGATGGGTTTGTACTTACCCCCCCCCCCAAATAATAATAATAATGATGATAATAATCACAGACAATTTGTTCAGTTAATAGATTTCAAGTCATAATAGTTCATGCTTGTTATGTATGTTCATGCTTTATACCTTTGTGGAGAACATCCACCATGAAGCAAAATCAACCCAGTGGATTCCAACAAAGAAAAATGAAGAAGGCATGAGAACAGGTGGCTCAGTTAATGTCTGGATCAATTTTGAAGTATGTGACGCCTTCAACATCAAGTGCAATAGGATAAAGTCTTGAAAATATTCAGCCTGGTGAATCTGAATGGCAAATACAAGAAGCATCTTCACAAGAGGATTCAAATGAGAGAGAGCAAGGATTGGAGGATGGCAATTCATCTTCTAAAAGTAGTGAAACTGATGAAGAGGAAGGAGATGCCAGCAAAAGCCCACACCAACAGGAAGACTCTGATGAAGAGGAGGAGATGGATAGATTTTCAATTTATTCTGATGTCGCTGCTTGGCCAATCCCGGTTCCAAATAACTTTGAGAGTTAATCTTATTAACAGGGGAAGTGAACCCTTCAGCGCAGTTCAAAGGAGAGAAATCTAATGAAAAGAGTTGACAGCTGATCACTGCATGATTCTATAAGGCTCTGCCAAATGGTGAGAAAGTTTTGAGAACATGGATGGTTTACACTCCATCAAAAGAAAGTTTGTTGTGTTTTTGCTACAGACTGTTTGCTCTTGATGACAAAGCAATTGGATCATCCAGCTTTGTCACTGGGTTTCAAGCATGATGGAAGCTAAACCCAACAGTGTCTAACCATTAGGCTTCTGAGAAGCATCTCTCATGCCTGGAGAAATGGAAGACCTTGGGAGCAGGGATGAAGCTTCAAAACACCATTGATCAAGTTCATCAAGCAGCAATGGACAAGGAGAGAAAGAAATAGAGGGATATTTTACATCGTCTCTTGGACATAACTTTGTTTCTGGCTCACCAGAATCTTCCTTTTGACAGGCCAGGAATCACTGTAGATGACACATATTGGTACATCCAAGAGGGACAAGAGACGAGAGAGTCTCTAAAAGAGACAAATATTCTCATTCAGGAAGTGAAGGACACATGAGAACCTCAGTATCAAAAGCTCCATGTCTTAAACAAATAAAGAAGTAGGATGTTAAAGACTCCCAAATTAATAAGGAGAAAGATGGTGGGTTGAAACTAAAATGAACCATTTAAACCCACTATCCAAGACATGATGACTTCCAAAGGAGAAGGGAGATTACAACAGAAAAATCCACATTGGAAGGTGCAAATAGAGGCTAAACATCCATTTGATAAGTAAAATGAACCTGGTATGGCAATGAGTACAAGCCTAATGACAATTGTGAAAAGTACTGGATGAAACCTGCATGTTGGGTTAAGTAATGGGAAAAAAAATTTGAGATATGTCCCAAAAGTACAAATATGATTAAAAGAAAATCAAATTGAAGATAATGTAAATAATTAAAGAGAGAAAGATATGAAAGGTAATGAAAGTCTAAAATAATAAAACTAAAAAATTACACAAATTCCTAAGATAAAAAAAAAACGTCTGAAAACAAGCAGTAACGAGGAAAAAATGAGACTTTGTTCAATTGCTAATGTTCATTGGATTACTTCACAAGGATGATGTGTTGCCTTCCTGTTGGTGAAATGATGATTATATTACAGGCTGGCACAATACATGTTAATACATGTGGGGATGGGAACTTTGTTCAAGGTTTGTGACATGCACAAGATATCTTTATGGCAGTGAGCAATTTAACAGCTGTTTATTTTGCATAGATGTGAACAGCAATTATGAAACTAAGCTATGAGTATTTTAATTTGACCTGTTACAGTCGTATGCATATCAAATATGGAATCCAAAATGAAAATACATATGTATAAAATAGGCATTAAAGAGATTTTGGTAGAATTTGCATTGTCAGTCCTAGTTGTCACCTTATAGTCACAGTGGATAATGCCTGAGGTAATAGCTCCCAAATGTGTTGGGGATATCCCATCTATCAGACAAAATCCAAATGCTGATGTTAAACTATCCAGCAAACATGGCAAGTCACTTAAGGGTGGGGAGTTGAGTGCTTACACCTACAACGTCTCAATACTTATTGCCTTTCACTGTCTGCAGCCAGTGAATTTTACACCAAACTTAATATATCCAAAAGAACTTGTCACAGAAAAAAGCAATAGTAACGATGTTCATACCAACTATTTAGACTTGGACATTAATTCAGTAGAAGGCAAAGCAA